TAAATATTTTGCAGATTGTCTCTTCATCCTTTTTCCTTTGCTGTACAAAAGGTTTTTAGTGTGATATAATTCCATCTGTCTATTTTTGCTTCTGTTGCCTGTGTTTTTGAGGTCTTATCCAAAAATCCTTGACTAGACCAATAGCTTAAAGTGTTTTTCTTGTGTTTTCTTCTAGTAGTTTCACAGTTTGGGGGTCTTATATTTGAGCTTTTGATCAATTTTGAGTTGATTTTTGTATATAGTGAGAGGTAGGAATCTAGGAGAATTAGTCTTTAAGCCTGGCTCTTCATATCCTGAATCAGGCAAGAAGCATATGTCCCAGTAGGTGCCCAGAATGGGGTGACAAGTATTCTACAGTCAGCTCAGGGCTCTTCCTGAGGTACAACTATGACCTTGGATGTCTCCTTTGGACTAATGTGTGGGCTTTGCACCAAGCTGTGGGCTAAGCTTGGTCCAGGGAGAATTCTATGCTATCTTTTAGGAGGCTCATATGGCTGACAAGCTGCCAGAGAGAAGTCCTCTATCTCTGGACTCAGGGGGCGAGGAGAGGAAAAGAAGGACTATTCAGTTTTCCCTACTCTGACCATTGAATCCCTATAAATGAGTTTCTTTTGAAAGCCTGAAGCCCTCAAGTAAGCTGAGGAGGAAACAAGGAGTCAGAATATGTGCCAAGAGCTATAAATTTCTTCTGTCTGTCTGGGGCCATTATTTTGTTGCCTACAGGCACTCAGTTGGCAGCTCACAGTACATCAGTTACATCTACCAGTCCAGGTGGATGCGTTGGTTATTTAATTAATTGCATGCACATAGTTCAAGGTCCTAGCTCTTGCATGGGGCATCTGCCAAGTTTTTTGCAGTCTAGAAATATCCCCAGAAACTTTTCTAACTTAGAATTATTATAATCATATCTCCCTTGTTACACTGTCCAGTTTTTCCTCTCATCAGTGTATTTGAAACAACAACTATGACATCAACAACAACACTAATGACAATGGCAACAACTCCATTCTAAGTCACCATTCCCAGACAATGTTTTTATGTTGTTAGAGTGTTTTGGTCACAATGAACACAGGAGAGGTCTCTGGCTAGTTGGTGCAATCTTATGCATGCTCAATATGCTTTTTTATCATTATGTATCATTGTTGAAGGATGAGAGGAGTTTTTCTAGCAATTTCAATTCTATTCAAAGTCCCTTATTGAAGTTCTGATACTTAAAGCATGAGATAGCCTGATATGGTAGATTCAGCTGTTTATCCTCCAAAAGTCACACAACAAATGTTGGCAATCATGTGAAGAAATGAGAACTCATATACACTTGCCATAGCTGGATGTATTGTGGGCCCCAAGGATTCATGTGTATGAGATTTGGTCCTTAGTGTGGGGACATGAGAGGTGATGGTACCTTTAGGAACAAAAGCCCTGCAGGAGGTCCCCAGGTCACCTATGGGCATGCCCTCTGATGGGGTCAATCTCACTCTCCCAAGGGTGAGTTGTTATAACAGTAGACTGACCTCTAAATTCCTGTGGTCTTCCTGTTTGGTGATAGGATCTCTCTGTCATAGACACTCCAGCCATTGTCCAGTCTGTCCCATGCCAGCCTCCATCATTCACAAAAATCTTCTATTCATTCTTTAGTAACATTGTCCCAGCCTCCCATCATCCTTATAGCAAGTCAGCTTCCCAGTTCCATGCTATCAACCAATCACCTTTCAACATTAGGGCAGGTCCTTGGTCCTACCAATGTAAGGCAAGATCAATTTTTGACTTCTTATTCCTAGGATATTTTCCTGGTAACATGCTTTTGGATCATGGGTGCCTAGATCTATATTGCATGCATTTCTGTTTCTGTGTATATTTTTCTGAGTCTTTCTCTCCTCTCCTGAGACACTGGTCTTCTCTTTGATGTTACCTTTTTCTCTGAGACCTGAAACTGTGTTTTCCACTTTTCCCCTCTTCATCTCTTTAACAGGGGTGTCAGGCAGACCTAAACTATAGACAACAGAAGCAACTCTAGCTATTTAAATAGATAAAGATTTAATGCAAACAATTAGGTGATTATAAAATTGCTGCAAGACTTGGAGATTAGTGTTAAAGCACAGCTTCCAGAACAAAAACAAAGACCTCCTGACAGAGAAATGCTAGCTCTTCCACAGCCAGGAAGAAGACTCAAGAGTCACCCATTTGAGTTGAAAGCAGGATCAGAAAGCTTTTGCTGTACCTGTTTCTCCCTGTATGGCTTGTGTTTAGATGTTCCCCCAAAGCCTCATGAGGTCATAGGTTGGGCTTTTCCAGAGGTGGCTAGATCTGGAGTGTGTGATGCTGGCATTTTTTCATGGTGCAGTGCTAGAATCAAGGGTATGAGTGCTATCTGCTCTAAGTATCCTGGATAAGATAGAAGGGATAGAAAGATCTGGGTTATTCCCTGTTGCTTTGCTACCTTCTGCCCACCATGAACTCTTTCTCCTCTGCCACGCCACCCTGCCTTGGAGCCAGCTGATTAAGGACCAAAACCTCTAAAAACTGTGAACTAAATAAATCTTTCCTCCTTTATTTTTGGGTATTGAGCATTTTGTCTCAGCAGTGAGAAAAGTAACTAAGACACTCCCCAAACACATCTTCAATCACAATCCAGGTATGCAGATGTTGCTATATTTTTGGTGGAAAATGGATGTCTTTCATATTACCCCCTCCCTTCCTGCCTCAGTTTTGGAACTGGTCTTGTAGGAGTACACTTGTGCTTGTCAGCTTTCATGATGATGACAAAATACCTGAGATAATCAATTATGGCAAAGAATGGTTTGCTTTGGGTCATGATTTTGGAAGTTTCAGTCCACGTTTGATTGGCTTCCTTGCACTGCCCTTCTGTTGAGGCAAACTGTTACAGAGGGACACGTGGTGAGAAGCTTTTCACCTCATGTTGGTCAGGATGGAGATAGAGAGAAAGAGAGAGAGAGAGAGAGAGAGAGAGAGAGGGAGGGAGGGAGGAAGAGCCCTTTATGGCCATACCCCCAACAACCCAACTTCCTCATTAGGCCCTACCCCTAAAAGTTCCCATCACCTCTAAGTAGTGCCACAGGCTGGTGACCTGGCCTTTAACACATGATGAGACTTTTGGGGATATTTCAGACCCAAACTATAGCAGCACCTTATCTAGAAGAAGACATAGGCTGGAGTGAGAATCAAAGCAATAATGAGTAGTGGAAAAAGTTTTCCATTGATTTTGGGGGAACACAATTGAATGATGGCGATGATGTGGCCTGAGGAAGAGAGATGTGGTGGATGGTGAAATGTAAGGATATCTGTGCTTCAGATGAGTGCTCTTATCAGAAGTGGACATCATGTCCTGTTCTGAAGATGTGGGTCAGACATTCAGCTCTTTTCTCTAAGCCACTCAGCGATTCCTGAGTGGATCCTTGTGCAAAATGGCTGTGGTGTCAAGATGGAAGCTACATGTGGACTCAGCAATGTGGTTCTTGCCTCCCCAAGGGGGATGTGCAGCCCCTGGGACTCGGTGCCCAAAATGAAGTGCTGGTTGCTGCTTCTTCAGTGGCCCTCTGACTCAGGGCATGGCTCCATCTTTACTGTGTACTGAGGGTTCACTGTGGGCTTCTTACACTCTTGGTCACCATGACAACATCACACCCCAAATTCCTTCTAACCAAGGAAGTGATTTTCCATTAAAATCTAGGACAATGGAAGTATACCCCCAGGATACGGTTGTGTAATGTTGTGTCCCATCACTCAAAGCGGCTGCCTGATAGATCAGCCTTCTGAAGGCACATTTAGCATCAGCTGCTCATGTCTGGAGGGTCAGACTGTTGCTGTCTTCTTACACTTTTCCTTTCCTTGCTTCGATTCCTTCCATCTTGTCTTCTTCTCTTTCCTCTGATCCCTACATCTTTTCCTACAGTGTCCCATGAACCTCTGTTCTCCTGGTAAACTCTTCCTCCATTCTACTTCTACATATTAACCACAGCTTTGCTCTTTGTCATTTGATCACACTTTTTTTTTTTTTTTTTTTTTTTTTTTTTTTTTTGGTACCGGGGATCGAACTCGGGTCCTTGTGCTTGCAAAGCAGGTGGCAGAACCACTGAGCTACATCCCTGGCCCTGAACACATTTTTACTACCCAACATATATTGCAAGGTGTAGATGCACAGCTCAAACTAACTTATACTAAAAGCTACTAAAACAGAAAGGTCTAGGGCTTTCCTGGTTTCATGTGTGGCTGGATCTAGGTGCTCAATTTGTGCCCTGCAGGCTCTGTCTCTCTCCAACTTTGGGTGTCCTTCATTCTGTGTTAACCTTATTCTCTGCAGGTTTAATAAAGCTACTGGCAGCTCTAGATTCATAATCCTTACAAATCTAGATCTCATCATAGAAGCCCTATCTCTCTTAAACAGAAATAACAAAATCAGCATCAAATGGGAAATTTGCCCTCTTTGGGCCATGTGATTATGCTTAAATAAACCTGGGATTGTCTGATGATCACAGATGAGTCATGTGATTGCTCTTTTGTGGGGAACTTGAGTCACACGAGGTTGTGGAGGAGCAATTTCCAAAAGGGAGGAAAGATGGGCAGATAGAGAACAGCAGAGATGTCCGAGGAACTCTGTCTTCTCCACTGCACCACACAAATGAGGCTCTTTCCTCTTCCTCTGGTAGCCTGCACTCCTGATTCTGGCTGCTGACATTCTATTTCTTGCCTCTGACTCTGCCTAGATTTTAGTACTTGATCTTACCCATCTAACCACCACCCAGGCCCAGAAATAGAACTTGCCTCTCTCCTAGAAGCTCCTGTGAGCTGCTTCCTGATCACAACCTTTATGTGAAAGGCAAAACAAAGAAACTTTTAGAAAGTTGTGCTCAGAAACTAGAAACACAAAACGCTGAGGAAAAGATTAATACAGAAGACTACATTTATTTATTTTTTAATTTTTATTTGCAGTTCAGCTCTTTAAATCAGCCAGCCAGCTTGCTTGTGACAAGGGACGGTTTCCGCTAAGGAAGGTCCGTCCTGTGGAGTGGGAATGTGTCACCAGTGACCTCAGTCTTATCTGGAGTCTCAGTAGGCAGTTGCTTGTTCTTCATCTTTGCCTTAGCCATGTTGTAATCCCCAGAATCAAAATATTTTTGCCCTTTCTGCGTTTCTTTAAAACAATTGAAACCTCCAGGTTTCTGTACCAGGTGAGGATACCTTGATTTTAGTTTTGCTTCTTCAGCTTTCTCTGGACTGGCCACTTTATCTTTCATTTCCAGTAGAACACAGCAGTGGGTGAACCAGACTGCAGCAGCTGGTGAGATATCCGGATTTAGACCTCACCCAGGACAGGGTGACTGGCTGGTAGCCATCTTGGAGAGGGGCCAACTGATCTCGGGACTCAGAACAGCTGTAGGCAGACTCCATTTTGTGGCTCCCAATGCCTCAGAGTGTGTGCTGAGTTCAAGTCAGCAGGAGATCAGCGAGTGGAGTTCAAGTCGGCAAAAGACACATAGACCTTTGTAGACTCAAGGAATCTGGTTCCAGCCTCAGCCAGAAACCTTTCAGAGGAACTAAAGGAGCAGGCTGGCTGGTATAATCCACTACCCCACCATGAGCTGCAGCTAGCTTGGTGGGTGAGATCAATCAGTTTGGCTCTGGATTCTGTTTGCCCACATTGCCTAACAGCAGAGACACACCTTGAATTGGAAGTTTTGGGATTTTTAATCCTTTTTCTCTTTTCTTTCTGTTGTTCCTCCTTTCTAATCAGAAGACTACATTTAAAAAAATTTTTTTTATTGAATTTATTGGTATATTCTAGGTATACAGTACAGTTACATTCAATACTGGGATCTTGTACCTTTACATGACAGGTCTTGGTTCTCATTTTTTCCCCTTGTCCCTACCCTCCCTTCACCCCCTCCTCCCCTCCCTATTTACAAACACTTTAATTCCATTTTTTCATTTTCTCACATTTTTTTCTTTTCCCTTATTTGAAGACTACATTTAAACAAAGAATTTCTATTTGTCAAGGGGCATCTTTAGAAAGTACTCAAAAATATCCAACAGTGATGGGGTCATGGCCAAAGGACACAGGATCCAACCTGAAAGAGTTCCTGATGGCCAAAGCTAGGATCATTTGAGCAACAAAGTAAATAATGACATACTGGATTATAACCTAAGGAATAAAACAAATATTCATGCGTATAAGCTTATACAAATGATTGAATATATAAATAAAATGGAGAGAAGGGATAGGCCTTCCATGCAGAAGAACTGTAATATATTTAGATGCTACCCTGTCCAGGAACATGTTTTGGGTATAGGTTGGACTTAGAGACCTGCTTCCAAAGAAGAGGGTTAGGAAGGGAAAATAGTAACATTACAGTGGAGAAGCCCAGAAGATACCATCTTGACCAAATGCTCAGAGTTAATGCTGCCAGGGAGAAGTCATCTTGAGGCCTGTGCCCTGGATATGAAGTGAGGATGAGAGTTCTTCACGCCTGTGAACATCTGACATACATATCCCCTGTCCCATTCTAATACACTACACAAAGGTGTACTGAAGGGCTATCTACAAAATACCTAATCAGCATGCTTAAAAAGTGTCAAGGGCATGAGAGAGAAGAAAAGACTAAGGAAGTTGTCACAAAAAGGAGAGAAATGAAATATGGAGTCCTAGATTCTGAAACAGAAAAAGGACCCTAATGGGAAACAGGTGAAATCTGAATAGTTTAGTTTTTAGTAGTATTGCATCCATGTTGACCATGTACCATGGTGACTGAAGATGTTAACAATGGGGGAAGATGGATACATGGAAGTCTCTGTGTTTTCTGTGCAACTTTCTGGAAATCTAAAATTAGTCCATAATAAAAGTTTGCTGAAAATACATCGTTAAGAGAGTAAAAAGTTAAACCATAGAGATTTGTGATGCACATAACCTACAAAAGACTCCTATTTAGAGCAGATGAAGAATCCTTACAAATAGATAAGAAAACAAGCAGACAATCCACTAGGAAAGCAAGTAAAAGAGTAGAAAATGCACAGGACAGAAAAGGAAAGCCAAATGGCTAACAAACTCATGAAAAATGCTAGTCTCTTTAGAGAAATGTGAATGAATTATTTCTTTAAATATTTGCTCGCTTTGGTTTCCTTCTTCACACACTGCAGCTGTGGTAAGTTGGAGTGCTTTTCTTCCCTATTTGCCATGTTCTCTCTTCTTCTTGCCTTTTCCTTCTATTTGCCTTTCGAATTTATGTCCCTCTCTTTGTCCAGCAATGCTCCCTTGTACTGCTTCTAGCTTTGTCTTCACGTATGTGATTCTTTTATTTTATTCTTTTGGTAACATGGATTGAACTCAGGACTTTGCACTTGTGAGGCAGGCAGTGGCACCACTGAGCTAAATCCCTGGCCAGAAAATTTTGTTTTTGATTCTAATCTTTCCTGGGTTCTGTCAACTCACTTTTCAGGTCCTTCCGTTTTTCTTACCATCTCTGCCCTAAGCTGTTGCTTCTTTAAGTTTAAAAAATTCATGGCAAAATATTTGGATGTGATTTTCATCTCTTTGTTGCAACACCTTTTTAATGAATAGCTTGCATCATCATTGTTTCTCTCAACTTTATGATATAATATTTTATATGGATCTAAAGATCACCCTTCTTTGAAGCAGGCACATTTTTCTTGGGATGGATGTTTGTAGGATATTAATGAGGATTAGGGTCCAGGTCCAGTCCAGGGCAGAAGAAAAAAAGTTAACTTTCTCATCCCTAGAAGTTCTCCTCTTCTTAATTTACCCAGTTCACTTATTCTGTTATTAGTGCACTTGACCCTCATCACTTCTTGGCTATTTTATGAAATTAAAAAATTTGGGTATTAAAATGGGACTTGGAGTTTCTCTAGCTGTTATGGTTCAGATTTTAGGTGTTATCCAAAGGCCCAACTGTTCACAGACTTTGTCCTTAGCTTGGTGCCCTTGGGAAGTGAGGAGACCCTTTAAGTGGTGGGGCCTAATGCTAGATCTGTAGATCACTGGAAGCAAGGCCTTGAAGGACATCCTGGAGCCCTAGCCTTTTCCTTTCACTTCTCCTTTACTTTCTATCCATCTCTCCTTCACTTCTTATCATCGCTCTTTCACTTCCTGTCAAGGCAGCTGGGTCAGAAAACAGAAACTTCTATAGTTGTGAGACAAAACACACCTTTTCTCTCTTGTGTGGTAGGGCCACTCCCAAGTTGGAGTGGGAACTTTTTTTTTTTCTGTGTTTGTTGTATTTTCTTTTTATTGAGTTTATTGGTACAATCTAGGTATACAATACAGTTACATTCATTATTGGGGTCTTGTACCTTTACATAATAGGTCTTGATTCTCATTTTTTCCCCTTGTCCCTGCCCTCCCTTCACCCTCTCCTCCCCTCTCTGTTTACAAACACTTTATTTCCATTTTTTCAGTTTCTCATATTTTTTTCCTCTCCTTTATTACCTTTCCCCCTCCCTTCCCACTTTCCCTTAGCCCTTTACTTCCTATTTCACATCATTAATTATCTCATTAGGATCCTGGAGTGGGAACTTTTTACAGTGTAGCCTCTGTGTAGAATGTATAGTTCTGATAATTTTATAGCATAAATCATAACCAATCAGGCTGTAGAATGCTACTGCATACCCAACCAGACTGTCAAATGTTAGTGTATGCCCATGTAAAGGAGACAAAGACACAAAAATTGTCTAAAAGGGTATAACTATTCCATGTTTGGCACTCAGACTTTGAATAAAACTTTGTGAGCCAGTGCCAGTGTGAATAAAGCTGCTTCCTGAGAAAAAGACCTCGGTGTCCCATCTCTCTATGCAAAAATCCTGCAGCACTAGAAGTTGATCATCTTGGGTGTATTTTTACAGCAGTGGAAAACTGATTAACGCACTAGCTCAACTTTGTGGGATACAGCCTTCAAGAGGCTCAAAGGCTTACAGGGCCTGGGCTGGGTGTATGCTCATCTCCTTACCTGCGCCTTTCTCTGTTGTCTGATGCCATCAAGTCAGTGAGATGAGGTCCCTCCATCTGTCTCTTGGATAAGAGTAGACAGGAGTAGACAGGATGGAAAGGAACAGTGTGTGAAGTGGACCGTTGAACACATAAAGAAGAACTGAGTTAGGTTTTCTAGGCTGCATTTAGGGAAAGAAAAATGGCAAACAATCATTTTGGGGCTGCATCTTTGAAGAAAAGGGATCAGCACAGAGTGGTGCGAAACACTTGCTTTGGGGTTGGTCACATTTGTGCTCGAATATGAGCTCCAGCATGTGCTGGCTGTATGACCTTGCTAACCTTGCTTTGAGGACCTAAGGTCTTTCAGCTAGGAAGTGGCAGCCATAGGGCTTATGGACATTTACAGGACACGAGGACAAGTGTGGCAAGTCTTTCACTCAGCGGGGTGGGGCTGGCTGCTAGAGTCTCGGCAGCTTCACACAACAGCAGCTCAGTTCTCGTCTGTTCAAGTCTCAGGCAGCTCTCTGTGCTGGGCCTGGCTGGAGTTGCCCACATGCTGGCTCTGCCCTCTGAACATGTGGCCTCTGTAGTGGCTGCCATGTGGGGGTCACATTGGCCCTCGTGCCCCACCTGAGTGCAGGGGATGCTTGGATCTGTCAGGGAGCGGGGGTCCTGATGAGGCTAAGTATTCATGTAGTTTAGCTTTTACTCCACACACATGGCAGCATTTCTTTTCTCTTTTCCTTTTTTTTTTTTGAGGGCGGGTACTAGGGATTGAACCCAGGGCTTTCACACTGATTTACACCCCTAGCCCTTTTTGTTATTTTTAAATTTTAAGATAGGGTTTTGCTAATTCACTAAGTTGCCCAGGCTGGGCTCAAACTCTATATTTTTTTTTTGGGCGGGTACTAGGGATTGAACCCAGGGCTTTCACACTGATTTACACCCCTAGCCCTTTTTGTTATTTTTAAATTTTAAGATAGGGTTTTGCTAATTCACTAAGTTGCCCAGGCTGGGCTCAAACTCTATCCTCCTGCCTTAGCCTCCCAGAGTGCTGGGATTACAGGCATGCTCCATAATGCCTAGCTTGCCTTTTCCTTTGAATGAATATTTCATAACGACCTTCTTAGAGGCATGGAATCTTAGTGCAATACTAGCCTTTCTCTTCCACACTCAACACTCAGGCCAGTGCTGGGGAGGATGGGAAGGGGTCACCTGGAGGCCCGGAATATGATGGTGAGGCTGGCAGCAGCTAAGATATTTAAGTTTCTCAGAAGAAGAAAGGAAACAAGGGAAAGA